CTAGAACTGAACTAGAACTGAACTAGAACTGAACTAGAACTGAACTAGAACTGAACTAGAACTGAACTAGAACTGAACTAGAACTGAACTAGAACTGAACTAGAACTGAACTAGAACTGAACTAGAACTGAACTAGAACTGAACTAGAACTGAACTAGAACTGAACTAGAACTGAACTAGAACTGAACTAGAACTGAACTAGAACTGAACTAGAACTGAACTAGAACTGAACTAGAACTGAACTGAACTGAACTAGAACTGAACTAGAACTGAACTAGAACTGAACTAGAACTGAACTAGAACTAGAACTGAACTGAACTGAACTAGAACTGAACTAGAACTGAACTAGAACTGAACTAGAACTGAACTAGAACTGAACTAGAACTGAACTAGAACTAGAACTGAACTAGAACTAGAACTGAACTAGAACTGAACTAGAACTGAACTAGAACTGAACTAGAACTGAACTAGAACTGAACTAGAACTGAACTAGAACTGAACTAGAACTGAACTAGAACTGAACTAGAACTGAACTAGAACTGAACTAGAACTGAACTAGAACTGAACTGAACTAGAACTGAACTAGAACTGAACTAGAACTGAACTAGAACTGAACTAGAACTGAACTAGAACTGAACTAGAACTGAACTAGAACTGAACTAGAACTGAACTAGAACTGAACTAGAACTGAACTAGAACTGAACTAGAACTGAACTAGAACTGAACTAGAACTGAACTAGAACTGAACTAGAACTGAACTAGAACTGAACTAGAACTGAACTAGAACTGAACTAGAACTGAACTAGAACTGAACTAGAACTGAACTAGAACTGAACTAGAACTGAACTAGAACTGAACTAGAACTGAACTAGAACTGAACTAGAACTGAACTAGAACTGAACTAGAACAGAACTAGAACAGAACTAGAACTGAACTAGAACTGAACTAGAACTGAACTAGAACTGAACTAGAACTGAACTAGAACTGAACTAGAACTGAACTAGAACTGAACTAGAACTGAACTAGAACAGAACTAGAACAGAACTAGAACTGAACTAGAACTGAACTAGAACTGAACTAGAACTGAACTAGAACTGAACTAGAACTGAACTAGAACAGAACTTGAACTGAACTAGAACTGAACTAGAACAGAACTAGATCTAAACTAGAACAGAACAAAACTAGATCTGAGCTGGTAAGGATCTATGGTAATAATATGATCTATGATTGTTTTCTACAAAAAATATTTGTTTCTCGATAGTTTCGTCCTTAAATCTTAAAATTTAAACGATTTTATTATTACAGCAATGAAAAATCAAAAGATTTGAAAGAAAAAGATGTATTCGAAGAAACCTCTTCAGAAAAGAATTCAACACCAGAAAAATATACTAAACAAAAAAGGACTGTTAGTTCTCAAATCGAAAAAGTAAATCTACAACTGCCCTCTAACAATAAGAAGAACTCTGAAGACAACAAAACAAAAAATTCTAAAAAAGTTGATGAACAACAAAAAACTGAAACTAAAAACACAGAAAACTTAAAAAGTTTGCCTTTAAATAAAAAGGAAAATGACGATAAAAGTAAACAAGATAATAATACACTTGAAAGTAATAAGCTGCAGAAGGAGACAATACAAGACGTAAGTTTGTCTACTAACTTGCCAGAAACCTCAAAACTTTGTACACCTCGCAAGGTAGCCTTGTTTAATGAACTTTTTGGACCCTCGTCTAGCGAAAGCAGTACAACTGCTGCCAGCAGCTGTAAAGGTACAAATTCTCTGCTTACTAATATAAAAGGAATTTTAGCAAAAACAAACCAAACAGATATCCTTAGTTCAGCAACTACTTCACCAGGTGATTATACAGATATCAGTAGTGGCATGGCTACACCGAAAGAGGATGCTGTCGAGGTTATAAGTTCAGAAAATACAACACCAACTAACATTAAGGATAATAATGATGGTGATCTAGTTAAAACTAATATTGACAATTGTTTTATTCTAACACAAAATGTTGATAAGGAGGTAAAAACTATTGCTTGTGTAGATTTAACAGAGTTATTGGATGATGATATAGAAAATGAAGTGGATTTGATAGAAATACCAGGTTTAGATTTGTGTTCTGGAAGTAAAGCAAAAAATTCAACTAAAACTAAGACTGATAAGAAGAACTTAAGTAAAGATTTAGAAAATTCAAGTAATGTCGAAAATGATGAAAATAGAAAGACTTCATCAGGTTCGGAAATACCAGTATCCCTAGATAATACAGACTTGGAGAAGGTTTCGTTAATAAATGCATCAGACAAACAAGAAATTGTTGATAGTTCTGAAATTACCATCAGCTCAACGGAAGAAATCATTGAATTAGTAGAACATGTTAATGATAAATATGATGAGAAAGTGAAATCTTTACAAGCAGATAGAAGGGAAGGGGGCAGTTCCCCCATGTCACCAAGCGTAGATGAAACAGCAATTAAATCTGCAGATGTGAAGCAAATGATTACAGCCATCGAATCAGTTGATAAATTAGATGACGCAGCAGTTGTAGAAAAGCATTCCACAGAAAGTAAACTGGACGATCTGGAAATGGAAAGTTTTGACACGAAATCCAACACTGAAGAGATTCCGCTCGATGAAAATGACAAACAGTCTAAAGCTTTAACAAGTGAAGAGCAAATGAAAATAACAGCAAGTGTACACAGCACGACTTCAACTTCTAAAGCTCCAGGCTCTAACATCGAAATAAAAGAAACAGATCTTGCGTTTAAAACAAAAATTTATAAAAATTCGAATAAACTTGAAATGACTGAAAACGATAACTCCAAAGCAGAACAAAGTCAAGAGAGTGTTGATGCAAGCACCTTATCAGACAATATGACAGAAGTATTAGATCACACTTCAAGTGCTAATGAAAATTCCAACTCAAATTTACCAGAAAATTCCCTAAACAGTGAAGAAGCCTGCTCAATGGAAACAGAAATAATTATTGATGAAACTTTCGATGAAATTCAAACTGTAGAAGAAAGTGACAGAGAATTACAACAAGCAGATACAAATATGTCTCCATTAATAGACAAAAACGATGTAGACACTACAATAGATGTAAATTTAAACGAAGCAGAAGTTGTTGAATCATTTCCTCCAGAAAATCTTATAAACAATTCAGATTCCATTAAAAATAGACAAAATAAAGAAGAAAATGAATTAATATTAGCCTTAACTGAAGAATTACCACAAACTGAATGTGAATTAGAAGAGATTACAGAAGACTTAACAGCTAATAACAACCTTAAAACAGATCAGACTAAAACATCTAATAATATAAATGAAAATATAAAAGAAACCGTATCGGAATCTAAAGCAAATGAATCAGATGAGAATTCAACGGTCACATGTGCTGATGATATGTCCGAAGCAGATTTACTTGAAAAATCAATGGAAAATTTTACAAAAACTAAGTCAAATGAAGAAGTGGCTTTAATATCATCAGCATTAATTGAAAATAACAATAATGAATGTACGATTAAGGTTTCAGATTCACATATGGAAGAAGAAAAAAGTAATTCTCTAGCTATTCGAGCGGAACTTAAGACAATTTTAGATTCCCAAGCAGAAATAAGCAGCAAACATATTGATGATATCGAAATCCAAGCTGAAGATGAGCAAACTTGCACAAAAACTTCAGCAGAAGAAACGGAAAATCTTATTACAGTAAGAGAATCACGTGATTCTACAGTTCTTGAGCAAAACAATGAAACAGCAGAATCCAATGATCAAATGACTCTTAAAATCAGCAATGATGAGATGACATTTGAAATAGCTAACGAAAAAGGAGTAAATGCCGAGGAGACTGCAGCAAGTATTGTACTTTTGGAATCAAATAAAACAATTGTCAGCTGCGAAACCGAATCTGAAGTTCAAAAAATTTCTTTAGAAACCTCAGCAATAGATTCAGAAAATGATAGTCCAACATTAAAACCATCTGATTCCACAGCACTTGAGGCAAATAAAGATCAGTGTGTAGCAGAAAATAAACGTTTAGAAGAGACTACCAGAAACTCGTATTCGCAGGAATCAAAAGCTAGCTGTGAAAAGGAGGAGAGCGAAACCGAATTCGAAGCTTCAAAAACTTCTTTAGAAATTTCGGGAAATGAAAACCTAACATCAAAATCCTATGATTCTATAGCACCTGAAGCATATACAGATCTGGTTTTAGCAAAAAAGAAACCTTTAGAAGTGATCACACAAAAAGACGGAAGCGAAACCGAATCTAAAGTTCCAAAAACTTGTGATTCCACAATACTTGAAGCAAATAAAGATCAGACTTTGGTAGAAAAGAAACGTTTAGAAGAGACTACAGATTCGCAAGAAACAACAGCCAATAGCGAAAAGGACAAGAGCGTAATCTATGTTCCAACACCAAATTTAGAGAGTGCACCCAAAGTTTTGGAATCATGTAATACCACGGCACCTGCTATAAATAAAGTTCGGGATGTAACACAAAAGAATCCTTTAGAAGAGACTACAGCAAACAATGAGGTTTCGGAGTTGCGGGAAACAGTAGCCAGCTGTGAAAAGGAGGAGAGCAGAAGCAATTCTCAAGTTGAAATTTCAGCAAAAGTTGCGGAAAATGAAATCCAAACAACAAAATCATCTGATTTCAACGCACCGCAAGCAAATAAAAAACAGTCTTTAGCAGAAAATGTAAGATTAGAAGAAGACAATGACATGAGCAAAACTGAAACACATACTGAGGAGACTATAGAGGACGTAGCAGAAAACGCAAGTGATGAATCCAAGGAAAAATCTTACAGTAATTCCCTAAGACCTGAATCAACTACAGAAAAGTCCATAGAAAAGGCTACTGATTCAGAAGAAGAAGAAGTAAACTGCAGTAAAACGGAATTGACTAAAACTTCAACACAAGATTCGATAAATAAGATACAGATTGATATATTGGAAACAGAAGAAACTTCATTTGAAACTCCAATAATAAGTTCTACAATAACTGAAAAAATTAATAAAGAAACTGATGAAGAGATGAAAGAAGTTCCACAAAATGCGATTCCTGAATCAGAAGCACATCATGAGAAAACTTTACAAGAATCTGCTACACCCGCAACTGATAGTAATAGTAAGCAAACACAACAAGTTATTGAAGTAGCAAGCATTCTTGAATACTCTAAAGTGTCAGATAATACCCAAGATTCCAGTCTAAACGAAGAAGCTGCTATGCAAAATGTCAAAGAATGTGGCAACCGAGATCCAAAGGATCAAATATTAACTGATACTGCTGAAGTTACTAAAACTAGTTCTGAGACAGACCCGCAAACATCCGTTACTACTCCAGACTCGGCTGGATGGTTAGGAAATTCTAACGTTAGAGAATCATATGAACAAATAACCCAGATTATAAAGAGTTCCGAGACAGACGCGCAAAAATCTGTTACTACTTCAGACTCTGTTGCAAGAGAATCCAATGTTTCAAATGCTGCTGAAAAGATGAAGAATTTCAGAAATAAAAACCATGTTACTGTCAAACCTATTCAAGCCTTAATAACGGGAACCTTAAAGAAACAGTTGCAAGAATTTTTCTTACGTAGAGATAAACATTTAACGGAAAGTAAAACTAAACAATCATTTAAATCAAAAGAAACTGCTTTAGTTTTAGCAAATGAGAAACTTAAGTCAACAAAGTATTTTAAGAGTAAAGATGATCTTAACAATACACAAAATTATAGCCTTAAAGATCCCCTAGAGAAGGCAGCCAAAGATGTTAAAGCTTCACACGATATCGTTAAAGAACAGTCTGCAAAAGATTTCGAAATTAAGGAAAACGCACAAAGTCCAGCAACTCCGCAGCAGAATGAAGTTTTAGAATTTCAGGCTAAATCTACAGACTCTGGCTTAATGGGTTCCACAGAGAAAATCATAAAAGACATTGAAATGAGAAACATAGATCTTGATGAATCTGTTAATATCATCGAACTAAATGAAACGGAGAAAGAACATACTGCCAATAGAACAGCTCAAGCTAATCCTACTCAAACTATTTCAGGACATAAATCAACAGAACATCCAATTGAAGAAATAAGTAAAGATTTGAAAACACCAGAGAGGCCGTTAACAAAGAAAGTGAAAGTTGAAAAGAAAGTTCCTCAACAACAGCAAGCTACAAGTATAGATACTTCCATTGGCTTAGCAGCTTCCCCGAAACAAAACGCAAAAAATTCTTTAGATTTAGAAACTTCAAAAATAGAGCAAGTACAGAAAGCGATTTGTGAAAAGATAGTTCCTCAAGAGGTAAAGAACAATTATGTTGAGGAAAAACCTATCACTAGTTCAACATCGCCGCTTAAAACTTCTGCTGCTACAGCAATTTCTAGTAAAGAATCTGAAACGATTTACACAAGTAAAGAGCTTTATGAAGCAGTTGACATGATCGAGCTAAGTGAAACGGAGAAAGAACGTACTGCCAATAGAACAGCTCAAGCAATTCCTCTGCAAAATATGGCAAAAGATAAACCCACAAAAGATCAAATTGAAGAATTAAATGAAGATTTGCAAACTCCAGGAAGGCCGTTGACAAAGAAAGCAAAAGTTGAAAAGAAAGTTCCACAACAAATGGATACTTTTATAAAATTAAATCTGGAAGCAACTAATATAGAAACCAAAAAGCAAAACACATCCGATAATAAAAAGAAAGTACCTGTTGAATCTGTTGAACATATCAAGTTAATACCTGAAATATCCGAAGTTTCAAAGCAACAAAACGCAGACATAGAAGCGTCTTATCAACAAGATACAACAATTTGCGAAATTAAAGAGAAAATATCTGTTAGATCTGTTAAAGAGTTAACTCAATCTGCTGATCTTATAACTAACAAGTTAATCCATGAAATTCTCGAGGTTCCAAAGCAACAAAACGCAGACTTAGAAGCTACTACTAAACAACACACAACAACTTGTCAAGTTAAAGAGAAAACTTCTGTTAAATCTGTTGAAGATTTAACTCAATCTGCTGCTTCGATTACCAACAAATTACATCCTGAAATTAGCGACATTTCAAAGGAGCAACAAGCTGACTTAGAAACCACTAATAAACAACCCATAAACTCTGGTGAATCGGTGGAATATTTAACACAACCCGCTGTTCCTACAACTATCAAGTTAATTCCTGATATTCCCGGAGTTTCAAAGCAACAAAACATTGAAACTTCTAAACTACAACAAACAACAACTTGCGTAAATAAAGAGAAAATATCTGTTAAATCTATTGAAGATTTAACTCAATCTGCTGATCTTACAACTGACAACTTAATCCAGGTTCCAAAACAGCAAAACACTAACTTAGAAACTTCTAAACAACAACACACAACAACTTGCGTAAATAAAGAGAAAATATCTGTTAAATCTATTGAAGATTTAACTCAATCTGCTGTTCCTATAAGGAACAAATTAACATCTGAAATTCCCAAGAATTCAAAGCAACAAAGCGCAAATAGAAACACTGAAACTTTAGTTAACTCCATAAACCCAAATAAACATGAAAACCTCTCCGAAACCAAGAAAACTAATGAAAAACATTCCAACTTGCCGGCAAAACATGCTGTACCCGTGGGCTCTAAAATATCCGCTGTCATCGATGCCATATCACATCGTATGCAAAAAACTTTAGGAGATATTGAAAAGACTATAACTGGTTATGAGTCTAATCTTAATAAAGATCCAATTCCATCAACGTCTGCTCCTAGAGAGCAATCTTTAATGAAACAACAAGTAGAGGCAGCTGAAGGCTTTGGAAGTTTCGTACAAAAGCAATTAGCAAACGAGGTAGCTGCAAACGTGTCTTCAGTCCTTACAAACTCTCCAGAAGGTTTGGTTTGCAACAACTCCAAACATAATATTAATAAAGTTCCAATTCCATTAACATCTGCTCCTACAGTACAATCTATAATGAAACAACCATTACAGAAAGTTGAAGGCATTGGAAGTTTCATACAAAGGCAATTAGCAAACGAGGAAGTTGCAAACGTGTCCTCTCCAGAAGCTTTGGTTGGCAACAACACAAAATTCCTTAACAATAACTCCATATTGTCCGGAGAGATGAGATGTAAGGAGCAGCCTAAAACTAGCAAAGATTCTACACAAAAATCTTTACAATCCCCGGAAAACACAGACAATAAAGATGCTGGAGAGACTGAATGTTTCATTCCAAAATTGTCTTATTTTGCAACGTCTAATATTGCTACTCCAAGTAACGTATTTCAAAAAATAATAACTAAGGAAATTAACATTGAGGGCGAAATCGTAGAAGTGGTTAGAATTCATATACCCAAAGGTTCAAATGCCACCAATGAAATTAGAAAGTTTAAACAACTTACTGCAGAAATATTAAGTTCACCCGCCTCTTGTTCAAATAAAAATCAAGAAATTGAAAGAATGGTTAAGAAGAGTAATCCAATCGGCTTTGAATGTCAACAAAACAAGATTTTGGAGTCCACAGCCATTAATTCCTGTGAAATTTTAAACTCACCCGCAACTTATTCTGGTAATCATCAAGAAATTGAAAGAAATGTTAAGAAGAGTAATCCAACAGTATTTGATTCTCCTCAAATCCCAATTTTGGATTCAATAGCCAACAAGTCCTGTGAAATTTTAAACTCACCCTCAACGTTTTCAAGTAATCATCAAGAAATTGAAAGAATGATTAAAAAAACTAATCCAATAGCTTTTGAATCTCCTCAAATCATAATTTTGGATTCAACAGCCAACAAATCCTGTGAAATTTTAAACCCATCGGCAACTTCTTCAAGTAATCATCAAGAAATTGCAAAAATTGTTAAGAAAACTAATCCAACAAGCTTTGAATCTCCACAAATCACAATTTTGGATTCAACAGCCAACAAGTCCTGTGAAATTTTAAACCCATCAGCAACTTCTTCAAGTAATAATCAAGAAATTGCAAAAATTGTTAAGAAAACTAATCCAACAAGCTTTGAATCACCTCAAATCCCAATTTTGGATTCAACAACCAACAAATCCTGTGAAAATTTAAACCCTTCGGCAACTTCCTCAAGTAATCATCAAGAAATTGAAAGAATTGTTAAGAAGACTACTACAACAAGCTTTGAATCACCTCAAATCCCAATTTTGGATTCAACAACCAACAAGTCCTGTGAAATTTTAAACACACCCGCAACATCTTCAAATAAAAATCAAGATATTGAAAAAACTGTTAGGAAAAGTACTCCAACAAACACGGAATTCCAACAAATCAAGATTTTGGACACAACAGCCAACAAATCCTGTGAAAAATCCCCCTTAAAAGAATGCAAAACCCCTAGAAAAGAAACCACAATTACAGCACTCAACAAAGAAGTGGGATATCTAACACCCAAAACTCTGGCTTACAAACATAGCCAAGAGAAAGACAGCTATATCACCATCTCTTCTATACTACCAGAAACATTTAGTACTACCCCTGTTTTACCCTCGATTTCCACCACATCTCCTACGCCCTCAAATTTTAGTGGTTTATTTTCCAAGAAAACTTCCAACAATCTTAACACAGAAGATGAATTAATCAGAACTAAGAAAAAATCACCACTTTTTATCAACAAACCCAAGGAATATATAATACCAGCGGCCAGTGTTTTATGCAATGTCGACAACTTGGAGAATGCCACCAAAGCCAATAAGAAATTACACTGGGAACTGTTGGAAAATAAAAATGAAATGACCGAAATTGAAGATGATGCCGATGTCGATACCACAGATGAGGAAGAACCCAAAATTAAGGAAGAACCTTTAGAACAAGCTTCAACCTCGCCTAAACAAACTAGTCCACAAAGTAAAACCAGTGATCAAAAATTGCAAAAGACTTCAACCTCCGAAACGGATACCCAAACAGAAGATGAATCCCTACTAAAAGAGTTGAAACGTCAGGATACCCATAAAAAGCTAAAGCGTAAATCTTCCAAGGTACATAAATCTAAGCACCATAAACATAAATTGCCCAAAACTGTTAAGGCTAGACTAAAAGCTATAGCTAAGCGTAATGAAAAAGACACCCTAACAGATAGTGGTCCAATGGTACAGCCACCTTTTACTATTATCTTGCCCAAAAGACCCGTGGGAAGGCCTAGAAAATTACAGAATTGTCCCAAAGTGGAAAAGGTGGTGGTGCAGCATAAAAAGAGAGGACGCAAACCCAAACAAATAGTGCTTAAGCCTAATGATGTAGCGACTCCTAAGGAATCTTTAGAAAGTAGTTACAAAACTAAATCGAATGAATCTTTTAAAGAAAAGAAACGTAATGCTAAAGAGAGATACAGTCCGGATGTTGTAAATAATTTGGAAAACACATTGAGAATTCTATCGTCATCTGTTGAAAGACTGGAAATATGTGATGAGACTTGTAATTCAAGGGGTAAGTGCATTAATGTTTTTCTTAAAATTCTATCATTTCATTTTGTTTAAAAGGGAAATTTGTTTTAAGATATTTGTTTAACTAAAATTTAGTTTAAACTCAAGTTGAGGAACCTAGCAATCTGTAGAAATCCTATTAAAGCTTTAATATGGTCCAGACTATGTCGTTGGAAGGAAAAGGTTGTCCTTTTTGTTGAAACAACTAGGAATTTAGATATTGCAACGGTTTATCGATTGTTGCCAATGTTAAGTCTTTTATATTGGTAAGAGTTGACTCAACAGAAGGTGATAGAGAGAGTTTAGAATAATTTTTAAAACCATGGCTGGAGAAGAGAGTCATTGAAGGCGATGGATTTTAAACCAAGGAGCCTGTCTGCATTTCTACTAATAATACTTGAGAGACTGGTAGATCATGCCACTCTTCTCATTAGCGACACTCAACATTCCAACCTTTAGTTTAAATCTGTTGAGAGTGCGCAACATGAGGTTGTAGGTTGTATTGGCCACAGTTTTGAGGTATTTTTTGGTCACAGAAGAAGCTTTAAACAACATCAAGATTGAGGCGAATAGGGATTAGCTAGTAGAGCAAGGAGTACAAGACTTTCTGGTGAAAAAGGTTCGAGTTGTCTGCGTGAGTACCTGAAGTGTAGCTGTAATCATAAGTGGTACTTTTTCAATCACTGGGAGAGCTAGAAACAAGTCAAATCTGCCATTTTGTGACATACAAAGAACTCTCAGGTGACAATTCCTGTACATGTTTTGCAATCATACGTCACTAGGAAACAGTCCTTAGTATTTGGTAGACCGAAATATGACCTCCAAGACTTTGTTCATAACTCACAGACGACACACTGCGGTAACTCTAGTTTGAACAGAATAAGCCCTGAACATACCCCGATAAAGAAAGGAATTTTATCGTTAACAGTATATATATTCTATACATTGACTTGGGTATGCGGGTGCGGTGAGCTTCATATACTAATAATTCATTATGTATCCCATTCATTTTGCATCAACTCATTCCCAACATTTAATAGTTCTACAGTTACAACAGCACCGAACGTATCCCAAAATATTAATTTCACTGGTCTAATTCCCAATATTAAATTCCACAGTCGCACTGTTCGCCGTGCAACATTATCTTCTCTAGATTTGGGTTTCAATCACAACCAGCACTTGCACCCAAATAGAACTCCGGATTACAATAACACCAACGTGATGGACGGTTTACCAAGGCATATGCCTCGGAGGTCTTTCTGGTGAAGTGGATAGTCTGTATGTTTAGCAGCAGAGCTATCGACTGACGTCCAAGGCGCTCCCACGACAATAGGATCTTTGCTTCGGAACGAGCGGCCAAAGATCGTCAAACCAGCGACAGCAGTATCAACCGAAAGTTTTTTCCCTAGAAAAGAACTATCGGCCATAGTCGAACTGTTACAAGAACAACAACCGACGTCCGAGTGATCACTACATTAGGAGAAATGTTGTCAGAGGAACGCGGCAGAGAGATGTTCTTTTGATATTTTGAGGAGATGTGATATCCTTTGGTTAAAGCTCTTTGAATCCGAAGTGGGAAGATTGTTGTCAATGCGGATGGCGTAGTGGTATTGGTAAAGGGAATCTAGTTATTCACTATCTTCAAGATTATGTAAGCTCCGCAGGCCGAACTTTCGTTATGGGTGAGAACGTCACGTAAAACTTAACAGACGCTTCAAGATAGATAACTTTAGGTTGTCTAGAATAGATGAATCCCAGCTAATTTTATCTAATAAAAAGAAAAGTTCGTTCCTTGATAGTGAATTATCATGGACGAAGAATACTCAGAATATAATGAGAAAAAAGGGTCGAAATATGGATTTTGGTTGTATTATCTGGTGGTAATAGACAGCATTAGGAAGGTACTTAAGAAATCTCAAAGTTGCGCCTCGCTTAGCCTTACAGGTCCTTTAGATGGACACTGATATAGTATTATGTAAGTTCCCTATGAGCACCAGGAAGCTGCTATGAGTCTGCTTTAGTTATAAATTTCCATGAAGCATGAAATTCCCAGTAGAATTTCCAATTATAGGATTGGGACTTTGGACTTCGGAGTTCGCTGACAAAGTGGGGGAGTCGTTCTTTCAGTAAGTAGTCTACTGTGAGGATTCGGGTATTCTCTCACACTTTGAGATCGCAATCTTTTGTCTTTTAAGGAACTCGTCTCTAAACCTCACGGTTAACAGTATCTTCATTTACTACTAACGAATTTAATAGAATTTCGAAGACTTGTTCACATTTTCCAGTATTAGAATCATCTCATATCTTTGAAAGACACTAACAGAAGAGTTTTAATGAAAATTTTAATCAATATAATTAAAAAAAATTACAAAACATTTCAGATTCATCAAAACAGAGAAAAACCTTCGAAAAACAGATGGAAGAAAGCCAATATGAAGATGCCTTTAATACATCTATGATTTACCACAAACAAGATTCTTCAAGGGAAAGTATTAATATATCTGCAGTAGAGAATCCGATAACTGAATCCCAGAAAATGTTGCAAAAACAGAATAAACCAGAGTCAACAAAACCTTTCGAGACAGCTAAAGTGTCTTCTTATAAGACTGATTTATTAAGTGCCTCTATAATTAAGGAGCCTGTTATAAAACTTATTGAACTCCCTTCAACTAGTAGGGAAGCTCAAAGCAAACTTCTTATAATTAGTAGTGAAAGAAAGCCAGGAAAAGTAAAATCTAATGAACTTAGTTGCAGGACAAAGAAAGAGAAATCACTGAAATCAAAAAGCAAAATATTAATGAAAAAGAAATTGAAATCAAAAATGAAAAATAAAGTAGCACCGTTTATATCTTTAGAAGATATAGGCATAAAGGTAAGACCACTCAAGGGCCACTTGTCGTCATTTAAAATACCCAAAATTAAGAAAGATACTGAAGAATCTATTGATGACTCTTGGAAATTGGAAGCATATGAAGAATTGGAAAAGAAAGATGATAAAGAGGATGAAAGGGAGGCAGTAGAACATGAAAAAGAAAGGAGAGATAATGAAAGGGAAGAGAAAGACAAGCAGCTCTCACCAAGACCTAAAGCATCTAAAGAAAAGGAGACTACTAATGTTAAAGAAACTAATCAGAAATCAGAAAAGTTGGATAATATGAAACCTTTGCAAAAGGAATCTAACTTGGAGACCATACAAGCGCCCCATAATAAACCCGAAAGTAAAGATGGTTCCAATACACCTGGTAATTACATCATCCAATTCGATAATAAAACGAAAACTGGCAAAAGGAAACTATTTAGTCCTGATATGTATGATGAAAGCGAAAAGGCAGAAAATTTTGAAATATCGGAAAATAAAAACAGTCAACAAATCTATGAAGAGCAATGTCAATACCTCAGCGAAACTCACGAACTAAATCCGGTAAAATTCACACAAAAATCTTTAATTTACTCCAAGAAAGCTTCGGACATTAGTCTAGTCGCCAATTCAGATGGTGGAGAAACAAGTTCAAATAATACGAGTACAAAACCTCGTAGAAAATCAATTAATATTCATAGAAGAATATTGGATTCCAGTAGTGAGGAAGACGAGGTCAATGCAGGAAGAACAAATGAAGTTAAAGAACTTTCAGAGGAAGTTACTAAAACTACAAAAACTTCGAAAACTGAAGCTGGAAAGGAAAGAAACTTAGAGGAAGCAACGGAGGCCATTTCAGCACTTACAAAAGAAACTAAAAAACCTTTAAGAGGTCGTAGGAAATCTATGTATGTTGAAAGTACTGCCAAAGAAACTGTTGTATCCGAGGAAAGTGAAACAAAGAAAGAGAGTAAAGTTACACGCAGAAAGTCAATGTATATAGAAAGGACTTCACCCGAGGCAGTTCAGTCTGAGGATAGTGAAACTATCAAACCGAAAAAACAACCTGCACGCCGAAAATCGATGTATTTTGAAAGTGCTCCAATAGAAGCAGTGGAAACTGAAGAAGAAACCATTAAACCTAGTAAAACTAGTCGACGAAAATCCATGTATGTAGAAAGCTCTGGCAAAGAAGCAGTCGAGTCTGAGGAAAGTGAAACCAGCAAGCGTATTAAACCTATACGTATAAAATCAATGTATGTTGAAGGTACTCCATTGGAACCAGTGGAAACTGAAGAGGAAACTATCAAAGCCAGTAAAACTAATCGACGGAAGTCCATGTATGTTGAGAGCACTGCCAAGGAAGTTGTCGAGCCTGAGGAAAGTGTACCAACCAAACGTAATATACCGTCACGCAGAAAGTCAATGTATGTAGAAAGAACTCCATTAGAAGCAATTGAAACTGATGAAGAAACAACTAAACACAATAAAACTAATCCAGGAAAATCTATTCCTGTTGAAAGCACTTCCCAGGAAGCTGTAGAGCCTGAGAAAAGTGTAACAACTAAGCGTAACATACCTGTACGCAGAAAGTCAATGTATGTAGAAAGAACTTCATTAGAGAAAATTGAAACTGATGAAGAAACAACTAAACGGGCTAAAACTAATAAAGAAGAATCCCTTAATGTTGGAAGCACACATTTGGAGTCTAAAAACGTTAAAGCTGACAAACCCATTAAAGCATTACGCCGAAAATCGGTGTACTTTGAAAGTCCTGCTTCATTGGAAAGTGAAACTGAGGGAATTGAAGCGAACAAACCCATTAAAGCTTGTGCAGAAACTAAAAATGTTCAGGAACCACAAACTGCGAGAGATAGTTCCAAATTAACTGAAAAATGCAATGAGCAGCTTGGGAATGAACCGCATCCTAAAGAGATTAAAGCAAACAAACCTATTAAAGCCATACGCCGAAAATCGATGTACATTGAAAGTCCTGCTTCATTGGAAAGTGAGACTGAAGGAATTGAAGCAAAAAAACCCTTAAAAGCTGGTGCCGAAACAGCGCCAAACCATTCCAAATTAACAGAGAAATGTAATGAAGAGCATGGCAAGGAATTGCATCCTAATGAGGTTAAAGCAGATAGATCTATTAAAGCCATACGCCGAAAATCAATGTATATTGAAAGTCCTGCTGTCTTAGAAAGTGAAATTGAAGCTAACAAATCCGTTAAAGCTGGTATAGAAACTGAATTGGTACAGGAGCCTCAAACAGCGCTAGATAGTTCCAAATTAACTGAGAATTGTAATGAACAGTGCGACAAAGAACCGCAACCCAAATCTGACAAACCCATTAAAGCTATACGCCGAAAATCAATGTACATTGAAAGTCCTGCCTCATTGAAAAGTGATAGTGAAGTAATTGAAGTGAATAAACCCATTAAAATTGGTTCAGAAACTAAACTTGTTCAGGAGCCACAAACTGAGCTAGACAAATCCAAACTAACCGAGAATTGTAATGACCAACAAGACAAGGAACTGCAGCCAACAAAAGCCATACAATCCTTTAAAATGCGCCGTAAAACTTTAAACATATCAAAACCCCAAACAGAAAACATTATAGAAACGTCTTCCAGTTCACTGAATCCATCTAAAATTGAAGAATTTAAAATGGATTCTAAAACGAACGACATTTCAAAAAGTCTATGTGAACATCCAAAGGAATCTACGAAACCTATAACTTCCTTCAAAATGCGGAGGAAATCCCTGTATTTGGAAAGAAATTCGTTGAAGAATGAAGATATTGAAAAGGATTCAAGAGATTTAAAGAAAGTGGAACCCGTAAAGGAGACAAAGGTTGAGGAACGCAACTTAAAGAACAAAGAAGAAAGTAATTTAGATTCTAATAACGCAATTGGAACAAGAAACTCTAAAATAGATTCTTTAAGAAAACAAATAGTTACAGATTCCGATTCCTTAATGGTGCAACAAAAATCCAATAAAATACCTTGCAAATCTACCAATCAACAACACAATTTAGAAACCAACAATGAGGAACACACTTCAGAAGATGAATTAGAGCAAGAATCTGAAAGTAAAAGACTTAAACTTGACATGGGATCGGACACCTTACCTCCCGATGCGATGGCCCAAAAGAAATCTATAAAAATGCGCAGACAGTCTACGACTCAGCGGCACAATTTAGATTCCCTTATCCCAGATAGGGCGTGTAAGAAAGATTTAGAAGTTTCCAAGAAATCTAAACAAGATAAGGAAAAGAAATCTGAAGACAAAAGAACACCACAAACAGACACCGTTTCCGTAACAATTAAAGCTCGCAGGAAATCTACAAATCAAACAAGAGATTCCGGTTCCAGCATTGAACAGGAAGCTAGGAAAGATTCAACAAAAACAAAGGTAATTAAACCAGAAGAAACTAAAAACAGTCAGCAAATGGATTCAGAAGCCAAATCCCTAGATGTTTCAAAGCCAGCAAAGCCTATTAAAATGCGTAGAAAGTCCACAATTGAGCGAGTTAATCTAGAAGCAACAGAATCTACAAAATCCACAACATCTAAACAAGTATTAGAGAAAAAGTGTGAAGAGAAACTTCCTCAAATAGAGAATAGTAAACAAACTGAAACACTCTCCTCGTCCTCCATGAAAATGAGAAGAAAGTCAACAAATCAGCCACCAACTGAAGAATCCTGTAGCAAAGACATAGACCATAATAAGGATGTAGATACCGACTCTTCCTTAGTACTGACACCACACAAATCCATTAAAATACGCCGAAAGTCAATAAATCATCTAAGAATTTTAGATTCCAGTAGTAGTGATGACAATGAGCCACTGATTAAAAAACCTACCGTGATAGCAACTGAACTGAAAACTCCTTTAACAACAGCACCCAAAAGCAGATCACGTAAGAAACGTGTGGTTAAAGTTTTAAGCAGCTCAATGGAATCACCTGTAACCAACACCACCAATAGTTCACATCAATCTTCCGATCATACCTCACCTCTCGCCTCACCCAATCATCCCATTTTCGATACAGAAGTTCCCACACAAAGTACGGAATTTGCTGCCTCCATGCCTATGACACCAAATCAACAAGATGACAACAAATTTAAGGAAATCGATTCAAAATTACATGAAATCTTTCAATCACCCCAATACACAGTGGATTATAGAATATCAGCAGCAGTGGATTCATCTAATGTAGCCATATTACCGCCTCCGGCCTTTAAAAGCGACATAAATGAGACACCACCGGATTTCAATAGCGCAATAAATCAAAGTTCTGTAAATATTTCCCAAATAAACGACAGCAACTCAACTTTAAATGACACAACGGCTACACAAAGTGGCAGCGAAGTGAAACATTTATCTTTGGGTGCCGCAGATTATCGTTTTGAAAAAGTTTCCGATAACGTTATCAATTTGTTTATATCACGCAAGCGTAAACGTAAGCGTAATAATTAAATGGTAGAAATACATAAAGTGTTATGATATTAAGATTATACTGTTAAGTTTAGTTTTAAAATTATTATAGTTTTAAGTTGTTTTTTTCTATATTTTCAAAAATTTCTCCAGGAATTTATTTTTAAATTGAAAAGATTTGTTTAAAAACTTTCGGGTTTTTTGAAAAATTCATGAATTAAATCGTTAAAAAGTTTTGTTATTTTGCTTGTAATGAATTTAAATGTGAATTCATGTATTAAAACGTTATAAAATTGTTATTTTACTTTGAAATTGAAATTAAATGCCATTCGTATTATTTATATTTAATTGCAAAAATATTATTTTCAGAAAAATATATATATATCTCGCTTATTTTTAAAAATCAAAATAAAGTAAACTTTATTTTGTAATTAATAACAATTAACAAGTATTTTAATTTATGCAAAAGTGTTAATATCTTATTATATAGACGATGTCGAGATCAGAAAGACTAAAGAGGTCCTAAAGACGGTCTTAAGCTAGGCTCAATCGAGAGGCTGTCAGTAATCTATATTTTCATAAGAAAGATGAAAATTTCTCAATATATTGAATCCTGTTTTTAGAGCAACAAGATAACGGTTACCCATGGTCACCATGGGTAACCGTTATAGGAGAACCAATGGACACTAATATCGGACGAGTCAAATCGTATAGCAAACTCAGAATATGTCGGAAACTTTGAAACATTGATCCCAATAACAATTAACAAGTATTTTAATTTATGCAAAAGTGTTAATATCTTATTATACAGACGATGTCGAGATCAGAAAGACTAAAGAGGTCCTAAAGACGGTCTTAAGCTAGGCTCAATCGAGAGGTTGTCCGTAATCTATATTTTCATAAGAAAGATGAAAATTTCTCAATATATTGAATTCTGTTTTTAGAGCAACAAGATAACGGTTACCCATGGTGACTGCTCTATATAGGAGAACCAATGGACACCAATATCGGACGAGTCAAATCGTATAGTAAACTCAGAATATGTCGGAAACTTTGAAACATTGATCCCAATAACAATTAACAAGTATTTTAATTTATGCAAAAGTGTTAATATCTTATTATACAGACGATGTCGAGATCAGAAAGACTAAAGAGGTCCTAAAGACGGTCTTAAGCTAGGCTCAATCTAGAGGCTGTAAGTAATCTATATTTTCACAAGAAAGATGAAAATTTCTCAATATATTGAATCCTGTTTTTTGAGCAACAAGATAACGGTTACCCATGGTGACTGTTCTATATAGGAGAACCAATGGACACTAATATCGGACGAGTCAAATCGTATAGCAAACTTAGAATATGTCGGAAACTTTGAAACATTGATCCCAGTTAGAAACGGAACATTAAAACAACATACCTAGAGGAATCCGGCTGTGGTCACCCAAACGGACCTGGGGTTCTACACTGAAAATCCAGAAACAGAATTATAGAACAATACCGTCAGAACACTAGCTTCCAGGTAGAACTGCTTGAAATAACGGAATATGTAATTGCTAAAAGGGCAATTAAGGCGATATCAGTACCTCGTTTCTGTAATTTTCTCGAATCGAGAAAAAACTTAAAATATAATAGTCTTCCAGTTTTTAACAGTGTGACTCTGATTATTTTTAAACTGTACTCATAAAATTTAATAAGAAATTTTTAAATTCTTGTATTCAC